ACCCGACTTAAGATTTACGACAGTTCAAATATCGTGACGAGAAGTATAACTTTGTTATTTTAAATAGTTTGAAATCGGATTTGAGAATTTGAAAGAAAAAAGTTAAATCTTCCCTTTGGTGTATTCAAACATGAAAAACAATTAATAGACCCACAAAATGTAGGGTTAAATGTATAACAAACGTCAATTTGGTGGATTATTATTGTGTAGTTTGACAAATAATACTAAAATATTGAGAACCAAGGTTATTTCAACTATACATATAACTTAGATTAGTGTTTGTACTTATTTTGTAGAAGTTTTAACTGGGACACCCTATAGCTATACAGGTGGATTCAAAATGTCGGATCAACTCTCGAATGGTGATAGAAGACAGCCAAACATAAAAATGAATTCAGATTTTTGTTTCAGGCTTTTTTTTTTGAAAAAAAAACTGTCAATTTTCATCTAATCATATAGGCATCTTAGTTTTTTTGTTTCCGTTGTTTTTTTACACCATAAGACACAAATTGCTAATTTTTTTCAACAGGTATATCTGTTCAGTCTTACAAGATCTGCAGTTTCCGCTAACTAAATTCAAAATTACATAATCGAAACGGCTCAAAACTTAATCCAAAATTTAATCATTGCTATATCTAGTGAAAAAAGCCTCAAACTATTTTTGTCATGGCAACTTTTAACTCAAATAGATGTCCTTTACCACCCAAGAAACGGTCCTACATTTTTGAATCACCCTGTGTATTTTGTAGTTCTATGCATTTTGACCAGAAATATTAAACATTATCTATGAAATATTTTCATATTAATTGATTTAGGAACCCACTGTGATTCAAAAGGGATAAAGTAGGTGAAATAATGCGGTCTTTCGTGCTGTTTTCCGGAAAGGCGGCCGATAAACATCCGTGCAAAGCAGTAAATCGTTAAAATATCCGATTTATAACTCTATAACGCTACATAATAAATTGCGCAAGCCAGACTTTAATGGTACTAATTAAGTCCGTGCATTTTTAGCGTATCACATAAGCGCAACATACGACTAGAAATTGCCGTACAGTATAACCCACTAATTACATTATCATTATTATTGCTCTCCGTATGATTCAAATGCAAATTCGCGATTTTTCAACCCGGAAAATAGCACAAACCGCCGGTTTTTCTACCGACCGGCTTCTAGGTGTTCCAGTAGCTGTTTCCGGGCAAATGGGAGCAAATTAAAAGCTCATTAGCCCTCGGAGACATCGGAAAAAAGTCCTACTTAACGCCGCTCGTTATATTTATTTTATCGGAGGTGGGTGTTGTAAAAACAGCAGGCCGAGAATCTCACGCACGCTATGCGTTCTTGGAAAAGCGTCTTGTCGGCCGGATTGGCCGTTGACATGCCACGCTTATCGACGCGAAGAAAATTTTTGTCGAAAAAATTCAGAAATCGCGGGGTGAATAACCGCACCTTAATTCATGCTGAAATTAAGGGAGCGGCCCCATAATGGACAGTATGAGGTCTTGTAATTGCTGTGGTCGGTCATTCATGAACAATTCGCCTAGCTAATAATTTAATAATAAATAATAACACGTTATAAAGAGCCCGCATAAACACTTTACGCTCCACCTGGACGTTTTAATCAGTCGTTTCCTTCCAATTACGAAAAGTCGGCACGGAAAAATGGGAAGGAGGGGTCAAGTCTTCTGCGGGTTAGGGGTTACGACTCATTTACATTTTTACATATTGTATATTAAAAGTGCTAATTTATATATGTACCTACTTGCATCTTTTTCCTTTTATATAAATTGCTTAAAGAATCAAAAATATACTTTCCACTACATTCTACCCAATTTTGTTTTTTTTTTAAGTTTTTATCAGGTTCGCAAGTGAATTAATTTTTTAAATCCATTTCTATAACTCTGAATATTTACGTCAAAAAGAAATAACGAATATTTCTATTTTTTATTTTAACTAACAATTTATTTATTTTAGAATTCCAGTTTTATATCCTGAAAATTTTAAAACCAGTTGCTAGTATCGGTTGGCAGTTTTTGTAAACTTCAACGATCATTTAAACTACAAACCCACAGTTTTGAAATTTCTAATAAAACCATCAAAAAAAATTTTTTTCAAAAAAAAAGTCAAACAGCTTTAAGAAGTGAAAAAAAAATTATAATGCTATATAGTAAATAAATATTTTCTTTAATAGTTATCTTTGTTACAAGTACCTAAAACAGTTTTTGCGTACGAATCCTTCCTGTTTTCGGACGAGGTGAAACCGAGTCTGGAATAGCAGATGAATCCTCAAAAACGTTTTAGGTTGTTCGTATTACAAACCACATTTTTTTGTTAAAGTTCCCAAAAAACAAATTCACACCTCTTATTAATTAAAAAAATTTCGCCACCATAGTAACCAATTTAATTTTGTAATTCGGAAAAACTGTTTTTGGGGACTCAAATGAGTCTTTAAAACAGCTGTTTTAGGGAGCGTATACAAAAAAATAGTTTTGACGAAAGTAATATACACACAGTTTGATAACATGCATTTAGTAAAATTTAATTTTCGATCAAAATGATGGCCTGGCAATTATGATAAACGCATAAACCGAAAATACGAATTTGGCAATTTTCATTTCTACTATTTCTACTATTTGGTTTTTGCATTATTCAGTGTTGCCAACCTAATTTTAAAATTTCAGCCCACGTTGATCAGAAATACAGAACAATGCAATTAACATTAATAACTACAGAAAGCAAGGAACATAATGGTTACGAAAAAGAAGAAATCTCAGGTTTCCTCAAACTGAGTTAAATAAAAAAAAACAATAAGAATTAATATTTTCCACCTCCAAAACAATTTAAAAGTTTTAAATATTTTTTTTAAGTAAAAAACAACGCTCATAAAGCTAAATCAATTGAAATAAAAAAATAAGAACGTTATCAACTCTTTGACATATAAAAAAATTGTTTTTGCTTGATTGAATGAATATTTGCCATTAATTGCAACAAATAAGATATCAAAACTATGTCAAATAAAAATAATGCAATTACCGATAAAGTAAACAACCATTATAAAGTAACAAATATTGCAATAAATTTCTTTAACATGATGTTTCATTACCTGACCGGTTTTATTTTTAAATAAAGTTGTCATTAACATTTATTGGTTGTAATTGTTTTATCAAAATAATTAGTATTTTTAAATAAGTATCACTAATTAAAATAATTACAAAGCTTCTACTTATAAATCAAAGTCAACTGTTCACTGTCCACTCGAATTAACTTTTTCCGATAATTACCAACCATGACACAACAAAACCCCTAAAACGTGAATTTTTTCCAGGTCTGGTTCCAGAACAGGCGAGCCAAATGGCGCAAGCAGGAGAAAGTGGGCCCTCAGGGGCACCCCTACAACCCGTACCTATCCCCAGGTGGCGGAGGCCCGGCCCCCTCGGTCGTCGCCCCCTCACTCCCCAACCCCTTCAACCTGCCTTTTGGGCTCCGGAAGCCCTTCGATTCGCTCAGCTTCCGGTACCCTCCACATATCCTCCCGAGTTATCTTCCGTCGCCCCCCGGGTACCACCGCGGGGGGCCCGCCTTGCTGCCCCCGTCGGTGAGTCTCTACCCCTCTGCCAGCTCCTTCCAGACTCTCCTGGCAAATATCTCGGCGGCGCAAAGGCCCAAACTGCCGGCGCAGGAATTCACCACTTCGCCACCCTTGTCGCCAGGGGGCTCGGCGGTGACTCCTCCAGATGTGGACCGCAGGAGCTCCAGTATTGCCTCGCTGAGGCTCAAAGCTCGAGAGCATGAATTGAGACTGGAAATGTTGAGGCAAAACGGGGATTTGATAAGTTGAGGGAGTCAGGGGGTGCAATAGTGATACAAAGCCATTTTGTTGTTTTGAGTATTATAAACCGGCCCACTTGATACGTACTTTTGTAAATAAATTATGATTTTGTTGCAGATTGTAATAATCGTAGATTAAGTTTTTTTTCTATTTTTAAGTAGATAGTATTTATTGAAATTTAATTGTGAGATGACGTAACGAATCCGTCCTGATGTATCATGTACGTACTTAAAAAAATCAATAAAAATATTTTCTAAGAGTTTTTTTTATCTTTTGATTGAGTAAATAAGCGGGAATAAATTTTAATTAACAATTTCGCAGTGTACGCAATAATTCATGGTGTTATAACATTTTCTCATTACCACCATGTTATTATATTAATACAAGATAAGAATAATTAAAATCATAAATGCTTGTAATTATAGTTGGTGCTCAGTTCGTTATGTTGGTGAGCCTGATCTTCATTTGATAACAGGATATTAATTGAGAGCACTATTTTATGAGAGCAGGAACGCCTCTGCATACCAAGGGCGTAGCCGAGAAAAATTCCTCAAAACCTGGTCACACTTTAATAAAGAAAATATCTAGTAAAAAATATTGGAAATTAAAGAACAAGTAAAAAATTATAATCATTATAATTATTGCTTTTTTCATCAAATTGAAAACAAAAACATCTAATTATTGAAGGATTCAACGGTAAATTAAACGACAAACTCTCACTTTTTAAAATCCTGAAGATATTAGAAGCATTATCGAGCAAACAATAATAATTTCCAATAAGAAAAACTAATAAGGAAGAATAAGACAAAAAACAAAAACCATCATTTTTCTTCAGTCATAATCAAAAATTAAACGAAAAAAAAGGTCAGAAGAAATCGTGTTGCATTCAATTAACAAACATTAATTAAAAAAATGTATGGACATTTTAAAATAACGACATCAATAATATGTTTTTGAAGAACTCAATGGTAAATTAAACCACAAACTCACAATTCTCATAAACAATTGAAACCAAATTTAAAACATGTACTACGAAAAAGAAAAAAAGGTAAGTAGTAAAAATTGAAGAACAAGAAAAAGATGAAAACTAAACAAAAAGAATAAATTTGACACTTTAACACTTGTTATTGAGAAATTGTTAAGCAAAAATAATGTCAAAAACGAAAATGAGTTTCAAATTCTTGGTAACTTTAACGTTGGGCTAAGAAAGAAACTCACATATGTATTTAAATTTAAAAATTCTTAACAAAAAAATTGACTTTTTATTAGTGGGCTTACAAACACTTTTACATTTAGCACTCCTGTTCACATCAAAGGCCGCATTTCAAAACCTCTCTCTTCGCACAAATCCAATCGTGCATATTACCAACCTTGCCCGTCAAAACTCCCATCAATCCCCAAAAGCCCGCACCTAATTACGCAACTGCGGTCGCCTTTAATTACTTTCGACAAGGCTTTTCGTAATTCAATTAAATCCCCAATACTTCATCTTCAGCGTCCTTGAAGGGCGCGACTGTTCCGCTCGACAAAACTCTTGCTCTCGGCTAAATTATAAATAATCTAATTACGATCTATGATCACAAAGTGGCGGTTTAGTAATCAGAAACTCAGACGGTAGCGGTACATATAACTTGTACACTTAAATTGTGTTTTAATAAAATTTCGCTTGGTTTTTTGGACACGTCGGAGACGGACGTCTCTGTCACGGTTGGGCGAAACGGAGACGGTAGTCGTGACGTGACGGTAATTACAGTATGCATGTAATTTAATTTCATCAGGGTCGGACTGGGAGGGGCCCACTGACAGTCTGATTATAGGGCAGGGCCGGACTGCTCCGGGCGCATCTCGCCCTCTCTCTCTCTCTCTCTCTTTCTCGTAACAATAATTGTAATAATAATAATGATAATGCTAATAATTTAGAAAAATCAGTTTTGGTATAGAGTGAAAATAGTAAGAGGTCTGTGGTGTGTCCGTGGGGCCACCTTTTTTGTACACCTGTTAACTAGATCCTAATACGTTTCTCATTATTTATTAAATTAAAAATATCCATCACCGGCAACTCGATTATTCCATGATTAATTTAGTCCGTGGGCCTGTTCTGATGAGTTCAGGTTTTAAACGGGCATTAATTTTAATTAGATAATTGCTTAAAGGCGATCCCGGAGCACCAGGTACATGTTCGCTTCTGACAGCCAGTGAAATATAGTAGGCTGCGAGCTTTAGCTCATCTAAATGCTGATCGCCGCGTCCTTATCTTGTGAATTTTAGTACCGCCGAAAAGAAAATACAAGACGCAAAGTGCGGAGACGAAGAGTGACATGCGAGTTGGGTGGCCTAGAAATTTTTATTTTCTATCGATATGTACGCAACTTTGGCCGACAAAGTGCTGGCTAGTTATTTGGGTAATTTGATTACATGATTGTTTAGAAATGACCAAGCAAAATTTCTTATTAATGGACAAGGTAGAAAAGAGAGAAAAAAATTTGGGAGCGAAATGTGTTATGACGTGGTCGGCTTGTTGACAAGGTTCTTTCTTTGTTCGGAGATTTTTAAGAAATAAGCAATTAGAAGAGGTCTTGAAGCCAATGGAAAAATAATTAATTGGGTTTTGATTGTCTGAAAATGGAAGATTCCAGTTTATTTCAAGGAAATCCGGACTCTTAGAGAATTGATATTATTTTTGTGTATGACTGTACTTACAAATAATTTAAACCAACAAATAACACTAATAAAACTTTACTTTATACTTTATTACTTTATTATTACTTACTTTTACTTATTATTTTGCAAACACTTGTCACATATTTTTTCTCTTCAAACTTTTATTAATTAGAAACATATTGATTAGTTAATAAAAAAATAAAAAAAAACTAAGAAAAAAAATTAATTCAAAAAAGCATGACAAAATATAAAAGTTGAGACGAATCTATACAAACAATGAAAAAAAAATAGAACACAAGAGTTCAAGAGCACAAACATTAGTAGACATCGAAAAACCAAGAAAAAATAGAAACAATATCGATGATAAGATGAATGTTTCCTAGTAAAAGAATAAATAAAAAAGTATTTAAAATCAAAAAATCAAATGCAAAAAATATAAAAATCATTACTTAAACAAAAAAAGAGTAGGATAGAAAACTAGAAAGAGACCATGAAAAGTGAATAACCATCATACCTACCTAAGAATAAATGGTAGAAAAATAAAAAACTTCATACTTTCTTCTGTTTATTACATCTATACCAAAACAATTTCTTCAAGAAATAATAAGAAAAAATAACAGAACAATATGTAAAAACTATTTGAAACCTTGTCTAGACATAAACAGCTTGAAAATATTTGTTTGTATTCTATTTTTTCAGTTTTGGACCATCATTTGTTTTTAATATACAAAGTTAACTTGATTTTTAATAGCAGTAGGATTCAAATTGACTTTCGCTTTATTGTCAACTATTTATATTATTATAAAAATAAGTTTTATTTTCTTTTTAATTTAAAAATAAGGCTTGATTATATAATACCTGTTATTGTCTCGTTGTCTGCTGACCCTAAAAGATAGAGATAAGAATAAAATTATTGATAAGTTCGTACAATAAAAAAATTGTAATAAAACAAAAAAATATAGAAGAATAAAAAAAACAAATAAAGACAACATAAGGTAGAAAAGAATAAAAAATCAAACAATAAAACTAAAAAAAAACGAAGTCCAAAGTTAAATTTTTTGTTTTCATACACGAACAAAAAATGTAAACAATAGAAAGATGAGAAAGTAATAAAGAAGAAAACATGGATTAAAACATTTGGTTTGTTGCTTAGTCCACTATTGAAGATTCCCAAGTTTCTGGTGCTTATACTTGACTTTTTCTTTTTAATTAAATTTTTGGTTTCATTTTTCCTTTAATTCCATAATTCGATTTTATTATTTCTGGTGTCAAAGATGATATATACTCCCGGATTGTTTTCAGCGAACCTGCCACTGTGTAATTTGCAAACGCCGATCATTTACATCCTTAACCCAATTAGCCTCTGATATATGCCCACTTTTTTCTTCTCTCTCGTCTCTGCATGATGATTATGCCATTTAAAGGTTAATTACTTTCTAAATGGACTCTCCTCTTTCGCCAACATTAATTACCAGCTTTTGTCTGATCATCCTACCACCATTTTTGGACACTCACAAATTACAAAATTTCATTCGAGTCAAGCTCAATCGCAACCAGGGTGGTATTTACAATTAATTTTAATCTAGGCGTATTGTTGGACGATTGATTGAAGAATTAACACCTGACGGCTTTCGAACCCATAATCAGCCACTTAGAATAATTGCCGCACTATTCGTTAATAATTTGAAAAAAAGACACAGAATGCTGTCTTATTTCCGTAATGGTAAAACAAGTTTGGTAATTGTGAGGCTTGATATGGCAGGGATCAGCATTACAGGTGAGATGATTAACGCGAGACTCGCTGAATATTTGTTAGTTGATGGATTCCGTTTCGTCTAATTAAATCAAAAAAATAAAACCAAGAAAAAACAAGTTTTTACAGAGAAAAATTTTAAAAAATTCATTTTAACGTCTGCGACTGGTTTCGACTGGGATACTTAAGCATCTTCATGCAAATTTCAACACATGTCGTTAAATTTCAATAAATAATTTCAGACTAATAGCGATTTTTACTTTATTTGAACTTTGCTGTAATAAAAGTTTCTTTCAATACAGTTTCAAGTTTTCTTGTGTATCATCAAAAAAGTTGAAACAAGCGTTTGTTTTTGAGCAAAATCATCAAAGAAGCTACAGTTCTTGAAAAAAAAAGTGGTAGCTTTAGTTCCTTTTTCGTTTGTCGGCATTTGGCTTGGCTTTTGGGTCAAAACCCCACATTCCCGTTGATAATTTATGCGAAATCGGTTTTTCGAAAGTTCATCTCCCAGCGAGCGTTGCCGTTTGCGTGCCCAGCACGTCGAAGAGCACGACCATTTAAAAGCATTGGACAGTGAACAGCAGGTATCGTGCTAGTCCCGATGTTTTACACCTACAGAACAATAAAATCCACTTCAATAAAACTGGCAGAGTGACGATATAATAGCTCCGCATGACATAACCTACATAGAAAGAGAACTAAGGAAGATCCTCTAATTAAGTGCTACGAGCTCATGCGACGTCCTTTACCACCCGCCACCATTTATGGCGAATATTTATAGACACGGCATAATTGAAAATGCCTCACGTTGTTATAAATGTCTTAAAAAGATGAACATTTTGGTATTGCC